AAAAAAAAAAAAAAAAAGAAAACCCTTATAGTAAATATGAAGTCAACTGAATCATACTGAATCCAACTGTGAGTAAGAGAATATAATTTAAATGGACTAAAGTGTTGATTAGAACTTTGAAACAGTATAGAGTTTATAAAATTTTTTTAAAATGTTTGTATTATCATGGAAAATTATTTTAAAAAGCATAGAAAACAGCATGGAAGGGAATGTGCCGAAATACATACCTTTGCAAATACTATTAGTTATAGTTCTTCATTTTACAGTATAGTTTTTGTATTTGCTATAAGAAACATGAATGCTTCTGTGCTGTGTAAAAATATGCACATCAAAAATTTTTGGTGTGGTTTTGGGGATTGAATCTGGGGCCTTGTGCATATTAGGTGGGTGCTGTACCTCTGAGCCACATCTATAGCCCTACATTCAAACACTTCTTTAGTAATTTAGATGAAAGATACAGACTGGCTTTGGCTTTCATGTATCATGTTTGACCTTATTCTGGGAAGAATTTTATATATGTGTGTATATATAAGGCATGAACATACATATCCATGCATATATGTGCATCTATGAATATATATATATATACAAGCATGAACATGTTTATTTTTGTTACTCTTCTGGTTTGTAATTTCCTTAGAAAGATGTGCGGGACATCCTCACCCCAATCCAGATTGAGGCTGCTTACCACCTTGGGCACCATGTTATCAGGAAGAGAAGCACAGAGGAATTCCCGCCCCTGCAGCCAATCCTTCAGCAGAAGAAAGAAAAAAACATGATTAAAAAAATGGTAATATTTTCCTTCACTCAGAGGACTATGTTACAGGACTAGAGTGTTATTTAAACTATGGCATAATTCTGAAGAAATGAACTTATAGGTCTGAGTCCTTTTTAAAATTTTTTATGGGTATTTAAGAAAACGGATTTATGGCATGCCCTGTTCTCCATGTCTCTTTAGTTTTTATATTCCCTTTAGGATATTGAACTGAATATTTTTAAATATGCATTTAGCCACAATAGTAGCTTCCCATATATATAAAATGTTAATTTTCTCTCTCTGATGCTCTGCCAGTGAAGACAATGTATTACTAGAGAAAAGCATAATGGAAGTAAGTTGCATTCTTGAGTTAGTTATTCGGTGTCTTTATGTGAGCTCAGTTTATCTTCCTCTTTCTCATTTGTCTCCTTTCTCATGGTGCCTCTCTTTCACTTGCCCTATCCATGGGTCTCTTCTATCTTATTATTCCAGTTGCCTGTCAATTCTATCATTTATAACATATATACTTAAGTAACACAACATTTTCTCTTTTAAAAAAATGTTACCACATTCTTTTCCGCCACCTTCCAAGATGGGTTCCAGCTGAAGATGATCTTGCATTTCATGTAGTGACTGCTTTTTTAACATTCTCCCAAAATGTTTGTTTCACTGATGGTGCATTTATTAGCAGGAGCTCCATGGTTCAGACCTTTACTGTCCAGCTATGTAAAAACAGTGGGTTTCGGCATGGAAAAACATGCATTAAAATGCATGCATTAAAGTGAGCCACAAACAGAAGAGATGAAAGGGATAGGTAAACTTCTAGTTCATATCCTGTCCAGGCAAAGCGGCACTTAAGCCACCTTTAATCACCACTATCCTTGAGTTTATCATCACCGCTGCCTGATCTAGAATACTAGGGGCACTTAAAAGTTTAGGGCATATTTTCTCTTATTCATATGAAAATATTTATGAAAGTCAGTGAGGATTTTTTTTTCTCTTTTATTTTCAGCTTTTAAGAACAACTAATTTTAAACGTCTTGATGACATCAGTCTTGCAAGCATACAATCCAAAACATTGGCAATATGTAGTTGTATTAATCTACATTTTGGTTCTTAAGAGAACTCACTTTCAAGTAAGAGTCACGGGGGAAATATTACTCATTTGATCATATAGAGAAAAATGTATGCCTCTTCTCGCTGAACATGGGCCATCCGTGGTCTGGCAAATTTACAGTGCTCATGTCACTTGCGACTTTCTGCGCCTGCTTCTCCTCTGACTTCCTAGATTCTCCCTTTTCTGTATTTCCCCCTCTTTCACCCACTCCTGTCATTCTTCTTTCTGTTTATTGTTTTTCTTTTGTCCTCCTTATCCTTCAGATCTTCCCATATATCTTGTAGCATCTGTGGGTCCTACTTCAATGTTCAGCTGAATCAATTGTGGAATCCTTACAGTAAACCACCTTTGAATTTTGTTCTGTGTTTGCTCAAAGTGAAATTTCTCAATTTCTATATTTAGGTGTTTTCAATGAATGCAAAATACTGTCCTCCCATCTGCAATAATTAAATAAGTGCAATGCTTTTGTATGATAAACAAGATCAAAATATAGCACCAGAAAATGGAAAGGAAGTTGATTAAGAACATCTTGGCAGCTGATATTCTCCAATTATCTGCAGAGTGCCTTTAATTTAACTTTTTCTCAAACCTCATTTCATTTAACAAATTTAGGCTTTAGATTTACCTCCTGGAAGAATTAAGTTTCTGGGCCTTGGATGTAGCTCAGCAGTACAGTGCTTCCCTGGCAAGCGTGAGGCCCTGGGTTTGATTCCTGGTACCAGAAAAAGAAAAGAACTAAGTTTCTTTGGCTCTGCAGCCATGTCATCTGAACCCACTAATTCTCAAACTGAACTCTTAGGGATGGTTAAAATAATTCCAAATCTGACATATTAATTTGGTCTTCCTCACATATCAAAGATGATTTATTCTTCACATACAAATATATCTACTGATTGAAATAAAAATATTACCATATTTTGTTTTCAGATAAATTTTGCAAGGTTTTGTGCCCATGAAAATTGTTCTGCTGATTTACAGGTTTCTGCAAAAATTGGATTTTTCAAGTAAGTTTACAATACTATTTTTTTTTTCATTTAAGAGGACATAATACATAAGTGTACATGGGTTCCAAAGATAAAGGGAACTAATCTTTGA